CACCAGGATTGCAAGTCAGCAGGTTTCAGACTACACTATAGCAACTTTGCAGACTACAAATAGGCCGGTGCAATTTTGTCAAAAATGGCCACTAAATTCTACAAAGACGGCTAACTCCTAGCTGCATTTTTACTTTTCATTTATTGCCTTGTGTTAGATTTTGCCTATAAATAGCCATGTTCCCTCCGTTATATGCATAAGTTTTATCAGTCAAAAAATTTCAATTTGTTATTCTGCTCTTTGAGTGAGTTTTTGAGAGTGGATTTCTCTTAATTTATCTCTATATCTTAGGTCTTGCCAACATAAGTGGTGTTCTTGGCAATCAAATTCATCGTAATAGGATTTTAAATCTCGCCAAAATTGGTGTTTCAGTATCGGCTCTTCTGCCATATTCCTTCCTCTAAATATATTCAATGCCAAAAAATAATAAAGGGATTATACTATAAATGTAAGGGAGTAGTTCAGCCGACGATCTTAAGTGTTATTTTCTATAGTCTAATCATGACCTAACATCAAAGGAAGATTAAGGGACAGTGTTAACTGAGTTCTCATTGTCAAAAGCAAGTTGCATGCCCATGTTTGTGTGCCTCATCATATTCATCCAAGAATTCATAACACTAATCACTAATCAGCTCCAAGATATATGGTCAGTTTTTATTCGTTTAATTTTAATGTTAGGACCTATATTATTATAACCTACTCCTTACTCTATCAACAAATACACCCTCCACTTTAGAGCCACTAAGGATAATTTTCTATGGACTATTTTTTTCAACTAGTCTTTATAAACTAGCAAGTTGCAAAGGTTTCATATGGTATTTTTCTTCTTCGCTTTGGCATCCTAAAGACCATTTTTTTAAGAGGTCTGACGTTTCTTCAAATGAAAGCCATATATATAGAGTAGGCTAGCTGATGAGAGCATGAAACCAGAAAATTAGTTATTTCAATCAACAAACAAGAACAACATTGGGAAAATGATATGTTGATTTTATTGAGTGAAGAAAAATTCATCATTGAATTCAATTACAAGATGAAAAGATGGTGGTGAATTTGCGTAATTTTCAAAACTTGTCAGAACAAATATGCTTCTGATACCTGTGTCTTATCTTGTCACTCAGCAAGATTAAACATCTGCAAATCAGTCATATTTTTAAGGCAGAATGAAAACAAGTTGGCATGAATTAATTGTTCTTTAAGGCATGAAAGGGGCAAAAACCACAACTGCATTGTGTCCGCCGAAGCCAAATGAATTAGATATTGCTGCATTAAATGAAAACGGAAAAACTTTTGATATGTTAAACCCAAATGAATAAGATTTCTAATTAATTTCCATGAATTCTTTTTCATCTATTCACAGTTGAAAGTTAGAGCTGAAGAAGAAATAAAATACATACCAACATTGACTTCATGCTTCTTCTTCACATTGGGAACAGTATCAATTGTGACATCAGGCTCCAAGTTCTGGAGAAAAGAATTGGGATTAGAAGAACATAAAACCTTTGTCATCAAACAATTGGATTAACTGTTGAGTGCATCGTCTCTGCTCGATTTGATTATGAGACAAAAAGAAAGTATGGACAGTGTCCAGGAATTTTTTTTTTTTTTGTAGGAGATCCAATTTGAAAGAAACAATGGAGCATGTAATCAGATAGAAGAGTTTTTGTGCATACATCCTGGTTAATAGTTGGGTGCAACCAGCCAGTCGTGATAGCTTTTATGGTTGCTATGGCTTCCAATCCACCAGCAGCTCCAAGCCCATGTCCAATCATTGACTGAAACAAGAAACGTATAATATCAGTCATCTCAAAGTTTCCATTCCCATAAGAAATATTATCCTGTCTTACTTGGAATAGAAGCTTATATATCTGTAAATATACTCTCTGTTTCTCACCTTTGTCCCATTCATCTTCATCTCCGAAGTGTCCTTAAACACCTTCTTGATTGCATTAACCTCAGCCAAATCACCTGCTAGTGTTGATGTGGCATGAGCATTCACGTAGTTCACCTGTAGATGGACAACTGGTTCAGTCATGGTAGACTAGAAAGAAAAAGATTAGAAATATGGAGCTAGTTGATCCAATTGTGTGCAAGTGTGAGCAAGGTTGTCAAAATCGAGATTTTACCTAAAATCATTTTG